TTGAAATTAATTGCATTTTTTAGATAAACATCTCTCAATATGAGTGTTAATTAAATTGCAATTTAATCACAGCTTTAATGATCTGACAGACGGTTTAAGCGATAAATATATTTTGAAACCAAATACTAGTTCCCGGAATGACTCCATATTATATGTAAATTTTATTTTAATTTTCATTTAATTAGTTAATGATTTTCTTCAATCGGATGTTAAGCTAATCACACATTTGATTGAAAAGTTAGACTTTCAATACTTTGTGCCTTAAAATGGATTTGATATTTATTTGATGCAAATTTTTACTGATAATTGTATCGAAAAAAATAAACACTTATCCCAGTCATGGATCTGATCTGGTTTTCTAACAATTCATATATTAATTCAACAAAATATAAATTCTTCGCCGAACTCAAAGACATGGAAGCGATTCCATCAAAGTATCAGTTAATAGTGATATTGTTGTACACAATAACAGCTTTGTTTGCTTTATTCTCCAATGTGTTCACTATTGTGGTACTATTGATGGCTAAGAAGACATCACCCGTACTCAGCAAATACCTCATCACACTATCGGTGTCCGACATAATAATGGCCACATTCTCGATGCCCTTCTCGTACACCATATTCATGTACGGCAAGTGGCTCTTCCACCCGGCCTTCTGTCCCGTTGTCCTATCCATTCATGTCTTCTCCGTATTTGTCAGCATTTATATACTGATAGCCATTGGAATCGACAGGTATTTTCAGTTATATGCTTTTCAGCGCAAAATTGCAAAACTTTTCATCTGTTTGTAGTTTTTTTTGTTAAACAAATGCTTTTCAATGTATCGTCAGATACTATGCGATCGTACGACCGCTCGATAGACAAAATTGGCTCAAAAACTTTCCCCGCATTACGATTGCCATCATCTGTATGTCCGGCCTCTGCCTCTCGTTGACCACGTATTACAATAGCAAAGCCGTGAAGTTTACGCACAATAATCGGACCCATTATGACTGTCGAGAGACGTGGGACAACAGCTCGGGTCGCGTCTACACGATTGTCATGTTTTGCGTCACGTTTGCCGTTCCCGTAGCTGTTCTGGTCTTTGTCTACTCCCGTATGGCGTACGCCGTCTGTCACCGAGAGTTCAGCCAAAATCTCAGCAATCATTTAAAGAGACAAAAGATTCAGGTATTGTGTGTTCAGCCGTCGGACTAATCAATATTTGATACAATTGTGTAAATTAATTGCAATACTTTATTAACAGGTAATCCGATTGTTAATAATAGTGGTGATTGCGTTCATCCTGTGCTGGACAGGCATTCAGACGTTCAGTTTGATTGTATGGCTGTTTCCCAATATATTGAAGTTTAATACAAGAGCTAAATATTACGGTTATGTTATATCGTATCTACTCTTACACTGGATATCGATGTTTCACTCGACTGTCAATCCGATTGTCTATTCATTTTTTAGCGACAATTTTCGGGTAAAACATACTGTATATCAATGTCTTCTAACCATAGATTTATTGAACATTTGTTTTTTAGTCGGACTTAAAAAGTGCATCAAAGAGATTATGGCTTAATAAGCGATTACTCGTGAGGTTTGGCCCAAACAGTGGCAGTAAGTCTTCGCAGACCTCCCAGAAGACACTCTACACTAACATATCATTAAGAAGTGACCAAAAGGATGGTATCGTTGACGACCCCATCAAAGATAACTTACTTTAATTAACCAAATCATTAAAAATACAGATAAATCATAAATACTTTCAATTAATGCATTGATTCGTTAGTGTTTTTATTCAATATAACCGTAATATTGTAATATAAAATATGTTATGGTTTTTGTTAAATTTTTTATATAACATTATTACTATGTTACTGATATTTCATAAATATTCTACCATATTTATTTATACAATTTAATTTTGATAACAATTTATGATTAATAAAAGAGTTATAGTTAATTACTTTAATAAGATTTAATAAATCTTATTCTAATATTAAATATTTGTCTCCAATTCTCTCTATTTTGTCGTATAATTATATCAATATTAATAATAACATACAATAAAATACATAATAACAATAATAGTAATAATTATAATAATAATAATAGTTAGTTAATACTTGATTTGAGAGTTTTTCTCAATGTCTGAATTAGTAATACAATCACAGGTGTGTTGACTGTAATCGCATTGAAAGGAAATATAATTGGGAGTCATATCGTTATGCAGTTTCTTCTGGATCTCTTGGTTAAGACTTTCCAAGTATTGATTTTTGTCCAAATTCTTGATTTTATTCAATATTTGGTCTAAAGCCGACCCTCTCTTCCCATATCTCGTGGGTTTTCTTAGGGAACAATTGGGACAGAAGTCACTCGAAGAGTCTTCGTTGGCTTCCGTGCCATTAGTAGTCATATATAGTGTTAATAACAGTACTAAGCATGTCATCCAATTCTTGTAAAACTGTATGTAATTATAATTAAGTAAGTTTTATTAAAATAATCGCCTAAAATAACTATAGTTTTATAAATAAATAAATAACATGTTCATTTTTTAGTATTTTAATTACTATTAATAGTCAAACATATAACTTAATTTATAAACATTAAGAAATTGTAGCATGTGGGACAAATTTTAATTAATTAAGTGTAAAAAGTTTAATTGTAAATTATTGAAATTTTACATTGACTACAAAGGTTAATTTATCACTTACTTTATGATGATTTAAAGCCATAATAAACAGAATTTATAAAATTAAACACTAATTTATCAATTATTTTAATAAACACTTAACACTTTAGATCCGAGTCGAAGACTGGAGTAAAATTTGTCAATTTTTATATATTTTATAGATTTTTATTCAGTAATAATTAATTTAAATCCTTATATTAGTATTGATATCACACATTGTGTTACGTTGTTTAGCAAAATGTTAAGTAATCATTAAGCATGTTAAAGCCACATTTATAAATTTTTTGTAAAGTTCCACTAGGTTAATTTAAATTTCATAATCTTTTTTAAATATTCTATGTAAATAAAAATATTATTCAGATATTGTATAATCAATTGCTTGAGTACGTAAATGTATATTAAACAAAAATTATAAGTAAACTTGGTAATGTTTAGTAATAATTATTTTTATTAATTTATTGTAATTTTAAGTTAATTTTTTAAATTCTCAAATAGAAATGTTAAATACAAAACAACTTTCGTATATTATGGTCAATATTTAATGTATTAATACTGATATTTGTATTGAATATTGATATTTAATAACTTAATCTTACAATATATTAAATGAAAGGAAATAATTTATTCAATTAAATATTTTTATTTTAATCAATGATAATGAGATAAATAAGTATTTAGTTTAATAAATGGCCAAAATATATGTGTGGGAGAAATGTTCACTGTTTTGAAGTTTTATTTTCAGTAAAAGTTATCATTTTGTAAATAAAACATTTTATATCTTTTACTTACAATCACTTTCATGTTTGTGTGTTAAATAACCAATTAAATAATTTCCATATATTTGGCCATTGATTTAATATAATAAATAAATAATCAATTTAAAAAGCAATTAAAATTATTACTATAATTACATATAAATAACGATTAATTTGTATAATTTAAAAGTCGACACAATTTTCTATTGACACGACTTTTGTATA